AGGCGCGACCGATAAGGATGGGTAGCTTGGGGTCATTGGACGAAATTCTATCTGCTCGGTGACCAGACTTTACACAGGAATTGCAGCAATGGGCACGAGAGGTGGAAATAGTGGCGTTGAGCACATTTATTTGTTGATTCACTAGGACATACACTTTGCCACCGCGGTCTAACTTAAAGACAGCGCCATCTAGTTTCCAGAAAAAGAAACTGCTGTTAGATTAGTGTTGTGTTTAAAATCGAATTACAAATTAGAACGGAAAATAGAATGACAGGTCGCGAAAGGCGATACAGTGTTGATCTCTTTTCAAGTTGATAGGTCTGTTATGACCAGTTGGCTGAGTGTGAGTTTACATAGAACGTCCTCACTAGTGAGCGCGTTGTAAAAATATATGAACATTTTAGTTTTTGAAAGCTTCCGCTAGGGGCGCTGTACAATCCGTCATACATTAAATGTCTTTTTTTACGACGTTTGATGCAAAACTCACACTAAGCCCTCAGGTCAAAAAGTAACCTAAGATAGAGAAACACGGGTCTCAACGCGACATTTTTTATCTGACTTACACTTTTACTCAAGGGCTTACGTTTCGGATGCTTTACTATGCTGCTTGAATAAAAAATGTAGCGTTAAGACCAGTGTTTCTCGTAGTTCAAATGAAACGCGAAAGTTTAAAGTTAAACCAACAAACCTGTCAGGGTGGTGTCCTTTAGCAGCGTACGTGAGCCTCGCAGGCCGCGCCACCGCTCCCGCCAGCCATACGTCGCCTCGCGCCGCGTGAGCCACCAGCGCCGGCGCCCGCGGGCACATAGCGGGCGTAAGGGCGCAGCCCCCGCCTGTGCTGAGCGAGCGAGGGACTAAAGGCGGAGACTGGAGAAAAAAACATGAAGCTTTTTACTTCTCTACAGCACTGCTAGAGAAACAAGTACTAAGTTTGATCAAGAGATGGCGCTGTTTTGCTACACGTCGCATGCGTCGCGTGAGCGAGTGCGGGAGACTAGGGGCGGAGACTGGACACAATAAAGTTCTGAGTTTGATCAAGAGATGGCGCTATTCTGCTATGTCTGGTACGTCGAATGTGCTGAGCGAGCGGGGGTCTAATGGCGGAGACTGCAGGAGACTAAAGTTCTGCGTTTGATCAAGAGATGGCGCTATTCTGCTACGTTGCCTGTGCTGAGAGCGAGGGACTAGGGGCGGCGACTGGAGAGAAAAAGTTCTGAGTTTGATCAAGAGATGACGCTGTTTTGCTATACGTCGCATGCGCCGCGTGAGCCACCAGCGCCGGCGCCCGCGGGCACATGGCGGGCGGCGTGAGGGCGCAACCCCCGCCTGTGCTGAGCGAGCGAGGCACTAGGGGCGGAGACTGCGGGAGAATAAAGTTCCGAGTTTTATCAAGAGATAGGGGTGTCCACTTTTAAAAAACATCGATGTTTTTTTCGATTCGATATTTTAAAACTGTACATCGATTTCTTTCGATGTATTGGAAGAAAACATCGATGTTTTGTATAAATCGAGTACTTTTTTAAGATTTTTTATAATCCACTAATTTAAGCATTGTACCTATTATTAAAAAACAGTAAAAGCCATACATGAGAAAAATCTTCATTATACAGTGTGAGTCACGTTAAAGTGCACATATGAAAATAGGTGAAACTAGACCTATTTTTATCGACAAAAAAGAGGTCAAAATTTTTTTTTAATTATTTTTTTATTTTTTATAGAATTTTTTTTCTTCCAATTACTTCTCGTAAAGAAAACGTAATAACTTTTAAACTAAGAGGTATATCCTTATCAAATGAAAATAGTAATAATGCTAAATAATAAGCGATACTAAAAAAATACATAAAATACCTAGAAAATGCCAACAAATAATAAAAAAATATACTTTTTGAAAAAAATCTGCTTTAAAATTCGTGTTTTTTTGGTTATTTGATCTCCAAATAATGCCCCCATAACAAAAGATTTCGAAGTAAAGTAAGCATTTTAGTTAAAATTAAAATTGTCTCCACCTGTAGTGGAGAATAATGTGTGTGGTGGCAGGCCTTTGTTTAAACGATCATAGCAAATGTTGTGATAGGGATTGAGACATGCAATTTTTGGTTTTACAAAAGTAATACGATAGAGAATAATACAAAGTAATAAAAAATACCTGTTAAAGGGGCATTTTTTGGAGAAATTTATCAAATAACCAAAAAAACACGAATTTAAAAGCAGTTTTTTTTTTCAAAAAGTATAATTTTTTATTATTTGTTGGCATTTTCTGGGTATTTTAGGTTTTTTTTTAGTATCGCCTGTTATTTAGCATTATTACTGTTTTTATTTTATCAGGATATACCTCTTACTGTAAAAGTTATTACGTTTTCTTTACGAGAAGTAATTGTAAGAAAAAAAAATCTTTAAAAAATTAAAAAAAAATCTCAAAAATTTTTTGAGCTTTTTTTTTGTCGATAAAAATATGTCTAGTTTCACATATTTTCATATGTACACTTTAACGTGACGTGACTCACACTGTATATTAAAGTAAGAACAAAAAAAAACATCCGCATTTATTTTTATAAGTTTGTTATATCCTAAGTATTTCCAGTGTTCTTTTGGAAGACTTTGCAAAAACAACAGTTTATTTAAACGTTTGCCTTTCAGCCTATTTCTTTGTTGATTGACACAAACAAACTCGCCAACCGACACGCGTGACGCGACATTGACATAACAGAGCCCCGATCATAGAGAAAAGTAATCCCGATTACGGTAACTTTTATAACGTCTACAATCCAGACGCGTTTCTGATTCTGCGATACGATTGGTCAAAACAGCTGACGTACGCTGTTGAACGACCAATCGTATCGCAGAATCGAGAAGCGTGTCTGGATTGTTGACGTTAAAAGTTACCGTAATCGGGGCTCAGTTTTTTTTTATTGTCACTAGAGACACTACTCACTGCACTCGTACGCAGTGTTGCCAACATTTTTAAAATACAAGTTGGGTTGTCCGTATAAGTAAAATTTTAGTGTTCAGACTTGAGTTTTATGAAATTTTAATTGGTTATCATCGATTCGATGTTTTAACACTGAAAACTTAAAAACATCGATACATCGAGTATTTCGATAGCTTTTCAAAACATCGGATCCATTCGATGTATCGCATTGTAAACATCGATGTTTTCGATACATCGATGTATATCGAATATCCCTATCAAGAGATGGCGCTGTTTTGCTATACATCGCATGCGTCGCGTGAGCGAGTGCGGGAGACTAGGGGAAGCGACTGCGGGAGACAATTAAGTTTCGAGTTTGATTAAGAGATGGCGCTGTTTTGCTATACGTCGCATGCGCCGCGTGAGCCACCAGCGCCGGCGCCCGTGGGCACATGGCGGGCGTGAGGGCGCAGCCCCCGCCTGTGCTGAGCGAGCGAGGGACTAATGGCAGCGACTGGAGAGAAAAAAGTTCTGCGTTTGATCAAGAGATGGCGTTGTTATGCTATGTCGCCTGTGCTGAGAGCGAGGGACTAGGGGCGGCGACTGGAGAGAAAAAGTTCTGAGTTTGATCAAGAGATGGCGCTTTTTTGCTACACGTCGCATGCGCCGCGTGAGCCACCAGCGCCGGCGCCCACGGGCACATGGCGGGCGTAAGGGCGCAGCCCCCGCCTGTGCTGAGCGAGCGAGGGACTAGGGGCGGCGACTGGAGAAAAAAACAAGAAACTTTTCTGCTAGAGAAACAAGTACTAAGTTTGATCAAGAGATGGCGCTATTCTTATATTCTGCTATGCCTGCTACGTCGGCTGTGCTGAGCGAGCGAGGCACTAGGGGAGGCGACTGGAGACAAATAATAACTTTTTCACTTCTCTACAGCACTGCTAGAGAAATAATCAAGTTCCGAGTTTGATCAAGAGATGGCGCTGTTTTGCTATACGTCGCCGCGCGCTGCGTGAGCCACCAGCGCCGGCGCCCGCGGGCACATAGCGGGCGTAAGGGCGCAGCCCCCGCCTGTGCTGAGCGAGCGAGGGACTAATGGCGGAGACTGCGGGAGAATAAAGTTCTGAGTTTTATCAAGAGATGGCGCTGTTATGCTATGTCGCCTGTGCTGAGCGAGCGAGGCACTAAGGGCGGAGACTGGACAGAAAAACAAGAAGCTTTTCACTTCTCTACAGTACTGCTAGAAAAATAATCAAGTTCCGAGTTTGAGCAAGAGATGGCGTTGTTATGCTACGTCGCCTGTGCTTAGCGAGCGAGAGACTAGGGGAAGCGACTGCGGGAGACAATTGAGTTCCGAGTTTGATTAAGAGATGGCGCTATTCTAGTATGTCTGCTACGTCGAATGTGCCGAGTGAGCGGGGCACTAATGGCGGAGACTGGAGAGAAAAACAATAAATTTTCACTTCTCTACACTCTATAGTACTGCTAGAGAAACAATCAACGCCACTCTTGTAGCGGAGTTTTGGGCTGACACTGTATAAGGTTTGTTGTCGCCACGACAAAAAGAACAATCAAATTAAGAGTTTGATCAAGAGATGGCACTGTCTTTCCAGCAGAAGTTGTTTCTTCGCGCGACCAAGAGATGGCGCTGCTACATTTTACATCGCGGTATTGTTAATTACCTGATTAGGTCCCTCTTCAGCTACGAACAGCGACGAAGCGCACGGGAATAAAACCCGTCCGGTGGCTGCATGTAGTTCGTACGATGCGATTCCCCAAGCGGCCACTCTCTGTCGTTCCAGTAAGAGTTGTTCTTCCCGCGACCACTTGCCAGATGTCACGCCGAGGGCTACGTTTGACTCGATGAGCGGCTTCCATTCTAGTCTGGAAGAGAATGACAATGATAATTAAGTTATTGTTTTTTTTAACATAAAGTAATAAACTAAATAAAACCGTTTAAAAAAAGTTACGAAACTCTGTAATTGGATTAAGTTTCAATGTTCCTCAAGCCAACATGTAAAATATATAATAAGCTGTTGAGTTTCTAAGAAATAAAATAAAATTAATATAATCTGAGGATGGGACCTATCTAGTCAATAAAGATATTACCTGTGGAATCTGATGCAGAATGAGCACTTTGCAAACAAGTTCTTAAAAAAGTGCGTATTCTGCGTCACTCTCATGTGAAATCATATTAAGGGTTTTAAAGATGTTATTAGCAATATTATTATTTGTATCTTATATGAACTTATTGCACTTGAAAAAATTTTGTATTGTGTAGACTGAATAAAATGTCACCAAAAGGTCTGGTTTTACATTCATTATAATAATACATTGAGAGATTGCTTTATAGTGATAAGACCACCTAAATTATACTGTCCTTTGTATCTCTTGTTTTCTTGTTTTTGAGTGTACACCACAGTACAATAAAGTATGTTTATTATTATTATTGATTGCTAATTATCTATTTACTTAACACATTTATTGAAGTATCAAAGTGTTTGTTTTTCTAATTGGTTGACAAGTCATTTACAATACTTTATGAATCAGTAAATCTATATACAGGGTGTCCCAAAAACAATGGATAACCCTGTAACCATCGATAGGCCTCGCCATGGTCTCCCTAACGTCCAATTTTGACCTCAGTAAAAATATCACCGTTTTCAAGATTTTTAAGTTATTGTGCATTTTTAGAAAATTGCCACCTGTGATTACTTTTTCTCATGCCATTTCTACAAATGAGGATACTTTTCAATCTAGTTTTTTTGGATTACTAATGTTTGGCCAAAAAACGTTTCCCAAATTATCACATCGCAAACAACGTTTCGCAAATTTTCATTTGGCAAATTTTCGTTTGGCAAAACAACTTATTGCAAATTTTTAATTCGCAAATGTCGTGTTTGGCATATTATTGTTTACCAAATTATTGTTTGGCAAAGTATGTTTTGCCAAATGTTTCATTTGGCAAAAATATTTCACGATAAACAATTTACAAAATAATTTGATTGGTGCATAGAATGGAATACATATAAGCCTGTGGTTATTATTTTGTTTCGTGAGTAGTAAATATAAAAAAAATCTATATTAATTTTCATATTTCATTCTTTTTTTTCGAAATTTCCAAATGATTCATTATCAATAAAAGTGATTCTAGCGCTTGGCGGCCGCTACCGCGGCACGCTTCGCTCGCCTTCGCGCGTTAAAGGTCACTGTTCTAACCTAACCTAACCTACTATTCTGCAATACCAACTTTCTGCAACCATACTGTTTTCTGCAATCTCTTTGTTTTACATAAAATTCTTGTGAAAACCATGATCATGTGCCTATGCTTTGATTTGTGGGTAACGGTGGGTATGTGAAGTGTCAATTTGACCAAACAAATTATTTGGGATATAATATTTGGCAAAATAAAACATTTGCTATATAAACATTTGCCAAGTAAAATTTGGCCAAATGATAATTTGTTTGTATTTAATGCCACTATGCAGTCCTAGTTTAACTATTACGAGAAAAACTCATTTTTGCAGTTTTCATACTAGTTGCTATTCAAGTAGCCATAAGATAAAAATAATACAAAATACATAGGCTTGTGATACCTTTTTAGAATCTCAATTAACCAAGGAAGTTTTTAAGGTAATGGGCACGATGGTCTTCCTACATTATTTTTACACGATGGCTGATCAAAAGTGCAAGACAATGAATTAATTTTTCCTTCTCTTCTGCAATTTCTTAAAATTTTCATACTTTCAAACTAGTTTGTTGAACTTTAATCTTTTCTTTTGATAGCCCAACTATCCCTTGTGATAAGGAAAAAAACTAGATTGAAAAGTATCCTCATTTGTAGAAATGGTATGAGAAAAAGTAATCGCAGGTGACAATTTTCTAAAAATGCACAAAAACTTAAAAATCTTGAAAACGGTGATATTTTTACTGGGGTCAAAAATTGACGTTAGGGAGATCATGGCGAGGCCTATCGATGGTTACAGGGTTATCCATTGTTTTTGGGACACCCTGTATATAAAAGAAAGTCGTGTTAGTTACTTCGCTTATAACTCAAGAACGGCTGAACCGATTTAGCTGAAAATTGTCCGGGAGGTAGTTTAGAGCCAGGAGAAGGACATAGGATACTAATTTTTATCCCTTTCGAAATTAAAAAAAAGTCTGCTTATTTATTGCCATTAAGGCGGAACAAAGTTCGCCGGGTCAGCTAGTTAATTATATAAATAAGATAGACTTTGTTTAACTTTAATCAACAAGTAAATTTTATGATATGTATACGGAATAGTTATGTTAATATTCACACTTTTATTATCTAGTTATTTTACTCTTGACCTGGTTTACCAGACCCAGAGTATTAAACACATGGTCAATGAAAGATAAAAATATGCAATTTTATCCTGTCAGTATTAATATTTGGTTTAAATATTATTTCTTACAATAATTTTAAAAATCAAAAAAGGCATATCAAAGCCCAGTTTAGTACCAAATAAACATTTTTTTTCTTTCTTTCTTTAAGTTGCCACCAAGGCGGAGCGGAGAAATGTTTTGAATAACCAATCTTTCAAATGCAAAATTCAAATAAATTATTCAGTACATAGGCTCTTTCTAGGGCACTTATACACAGTCAGATTTCATTCTTCAGAATGATTTGTTGGTAGTTTAATTTATAATAATGCAAAAACCAAGTAAAACAATCTATTTTACATTATTGTTTGAATTGTTGCTAAATCAAGGCTGTAGACAACAAAATAGCCCATTGAATCGCATTATTTTCAATAGCACAAACACCTGCTTATCTAACCTTGCACTGATTGTTGGGAAGGTTTCGAGGGAGGTATGTGCGTAGAATTGATAAGAATTCAATCCACTTGGAATCTAATTGTGAACAGGAGCATGCAATAACCAAAAGTTTATGGTTTTTTATTAGATCCTGGCATTGTCATGATTATTGCTGAGCCAAGGGCCTTTTGGCAAAAGACACTATGTTATTTAATTTTAACTATGTTATCCTCGTAAGCCCGGATGTGCATCAGAAGGAACTAAAACTTTGTAGTCAGTAACGCCGAGACATTTTCGGAGGTGATTTCGAAGTATCGCCGGATGTGCCTTCAGAGGAACTAAAACTTTAGCGATAAATTTAAGTTCAAAAATTCGCGCCTATCGAAAAAAAAGAGTGATAGTCTATGGCTTAAAGTATTCAAAATCAGGTATCCAAACTTATTAATATAAAAAAAACAAAACGTCACTGTCAAATTATCATTTTCCTTTGACAAGGTGGTTCGTCCGAGAAGACGTGATGTGCGATTATTATTTTTTCTTCGCATTAACGTAGTTTAATTGCAAAACTGATCAGTATAATTTAAGTTAAAATACTGCTAAACAAGCAAAAAAAATATTTTTCCCAATTTAAAGTAGTTTTGTAAGATTTTTTTTCGTTTGAAAATAATAGTTCTTTGCAAGGAACATTCGGTCTTGATGGTGAAAGTTTTATTTTTGTATATTTTTTCTATTGAGATGGAATTGAGTATTGGACTTTTAAAATTATGATATGATTGAGAAAATTTATCATGAGAACGTTCTGATTTTTAGTTTAGTAAATAATATAATTAACATGAATTTTCACTTTACTTCTTATACATTCTAACCTATCATTAGTGTATGTTATAAAACCGATAGTACTTTTAAAAGTACTAATTATGAAACATTAAATAAAATAAATACTAGAGATGAAACGGATAGTTGTTTGGCCGGATACCGGATACCGGATATCCGGCGAGCTGCTAGGCCGGATAGCCGGATATCCGGCGGCCGGATAGTTGTCCCATTGTCATGTTGCATGTCGTAACGAGTTTAGCGCCGCACAGGTGCTTCGAACGCGATCAGTGAGTCTAGTAGACTAGACAAGTCACACTTTTCGAAAATCGAATTCGTTCGAATAGAATGTCAGATTTTGCCACTCGCCTAAGGGGCAGATCAATTCGGGCGATTTCGGTTGCCATCGTGAGTATGTGATTGAATAGCGAAAATTCAATTAGTTTACTTGCTGCGTAATCTGACTGAACTGCATTATACAAAGTGACTTTGAAATCGTTGGCATTCTTTTTAAAATAAGACTCTACTCATGATTCCCCAAATATGAGTCACATCAAATGAATTAAAATTTCAATATTTGAAATCTTGTACAGACGACAGCACATCAATCTTCATACTGTGGCATCTTATTTCAATGTATTAAGTGTTATTTTGCAACAAAATGTATAGGATGATGTGCTGTTGACTGTACAATAGTTTTAAACTCTTTTTAAGAGCACACTAATACAAATACATAGTTAAAATAACGACAAAAAATCTCATTGGATTTGTCTCATATTTGGGGAATGCACTATGTATCATGAGTAGTCTTATATTAAAAGGATGCCAACGATTTCAAAGTCACCCTGTATGTCATCAGACCATCAGTGAAAAAAAGATCGCCTATTTTATTTGGCAATATTTCGACATTAAAATATATTTACTATGTATTTATGTATTCGTCATTAGAGTGAATAGCCCAGAAAGGAAATTAGTTTTTTGAAAGGCCCTTATAAGGCTTTTTTGTAACCTTTTGGACTTTAGATAAAAACCGTCATTATTATAAGCCATTTTATTGATATTTAACTCAAATATTATTGTGTTTCATTTTATTATAGGAAATTTTCGTAGATTTTTAATATCCGGTATCCGGCCGGATAGTGAGCTACTATCCGGTATCCGGCCGAATAGTAAATTTAGGCCGGATATCCGGCCTACCGGATAGTTGCCGGATATCCGTTTCATCTCTAATAAAAACCGTTGTACCTTTTCAGTTACATTTATTAATATCATTATTGTATCTTTATGTAGTATTAATTTATTAAGAAGGTTACATTTATGTTTTACTTTAAAGTATAAAATACAATTTATTTACTTTTCCTTTTTAAAGTCTGTAATACCGAATGTTCTTTTAAGAGAAAACATTTTTTTATTATTTTTCACCTAAAATAAGCTCTATGCACTATTATATAGGGCCCCTGAAAATATGAATGCAAAAGAAAATCTCTAACATAGAAATTTTTTTACTCGAAGTGCTCGGCGTTTACTACTTCAAATTATTCGTTCTTCTGAAAGCACATCCGGCGATACTTAGAAGTCGACAAAATTTACTCTTCGGTCTTACGAGGTTATGGATGTTTTTTTCCAATTATGTATTTTTCTGGTATTGTGTGCCTTCCACTCATATTGCTACAAAACCTTTAGATTTTATTACTAAGTAGTTTTTAAAGTTATAGTTTAGTTCTTTAAGTTAATTCTAATTGAAAATATAAACAAAAACAAAACTAGTTGGAATTTGGCTGTATGTTTACAATTTTAATTAATGATAGAAAAAGTCAATACATGAGAGTTAAAAAAGAAATAATTTGAAAGAAATCTGACCCATTTGCATAAAGTTCATTAATTTTCTAGAGTTCAGTGTGTATTATGTTACTAATGCATGCGGTACATAGTTAGAAAGCTGTAAATGTTACATATAAGCCTAGAGTAATGTTCTTTACATAACAAAACATACCTGGCATTAGTGGCCTGCGCTGTATGTGTTATATCAGTGTACAACAATGTAATTTCCCATCCATTCTGAGGAGTTCTCAAGAAGTAGATCCTCGTCTTTCCATTTCCAAGTTTTCTGAACGAAATTGCCATTGGTACCATCGTAGCCAACGACGATAACTCCTTCCTCAAATCATGAACTGCTTGTCTCACTTCTGCCCAAGTATACCTTTTTGAGGGCGGGCGCACGTATTCGGCGGACGCCGCGCCATCTCCTGCTTCCCGCACCTCCATACTGACAATATCCATCAGTAAAACAACTAATAAACTTCTACAAATCCCCTAAACAAAGCTATTCTCATAATGATATAACAATTTTCGCCTAACAAAGAACACTAAGCAACTCCTTCCGCTTTATTACACTTAGCTAATAAATTTGACTAATTAGCGCGAGTATTTACAATTGGACAGCATTATATGTGATAATTAATTACAGAATTAGTATAAATTAAAACTAGAAGTAAGCCAACACATTCGATTTCGTTTTTGACTTTTCTTGCCAAATGGTCGCTCGGCAGATTCTCTTTTGCAGCTGTCCGCTGCCATCATTGCAATTAAAACTCGAACGATTGTCGATTGAAACTCATTCTATTTACCTATCCCGCTCTATTTCAAACAAAAAGTAGAAATGAAAAAAATAAATCGGTCGAGTGAGTTTCTCTGTTGTCAAGTGAGTTTTGAGAGTACCGCAATACGTTTGGATACACAGTATAATAATTTTGTTGAAATATTTTTGTTGAATGTGTAGGGTGAAACACGAGCTGTAGTCCAGTAGAATTAGATTTTAAATCGGAAATAATTCCTATAGCCTGACCAGGAACATAAAAACCCTCGCCATGTTGCGGAAAACTAATGGTACTCAGGGCCGGATCGTGAATTTCTGGGGCCCTGGGCTGAAACTTCTTATGACGTTGTCACGTAAAAATATCGTCCGTAAACCGACTTTACAGACAACTATTTTTTTTTTTTTTTTCAAATTATGGCCTACTTTTTAGCGGGATCTGGGGGCCCCTTGTAACCCCGGGGCCCTGGGCTGCAGCCCAATCAGCCCATAGGTAGATCCGGCCCTGATGGTACTAATTTCTTTTAATGGCAACAGTAACTGAAAACTTCATTGACATGTCACCTTGCATGTCAGTCTATTGTTGTCAAAGTGTAAACAAACTTTATTTTAAATGTGTGCAATTGATTTTGTGAATTAAATTGCTAAAATATTTTTATAGTCGTGAAAGAAAAGTGGTTCACGATGTGTTAATGTATTTGTCGAAGAGAAATACTAAGGGTTCGGACAATATTTTCATTGAATAATGTTTCCGACAAAGGTTGTCAAATTGACTGACATGTTTATCGTATGGTACAGTCCACTATGAAAATTAGCTGTAGTCTGTTTCAACTACCTATTTTAAAGTTTTTTGTCACTTTCTAAGTTTTGGATTTTATGGAATTGGGAAAGAAGTACTGAGTTTGAAGCGTTCATGAGCAGACATTGCAGTTGAATTGAATATTCATGTTCTGAATTTGATTATTGATGAATAATAAAATAAATCCTACTAGCTCGATTGATGGTTTCATTTAATTTATTTAAACCAGGTTATCTTTAATAATATTTTTCGTTAATTTATCAAAATATCAAATTAGCCCGTAATCCTGAATCCTGATACATAAATTTAGCCTATTAATTTAACACATGTACGACTGTACTCAGTGTTGCACTATCAAATGCAATTGAAGCGCCTCTGTGCCAGGGTTTTTATGTTCCTGGTCAGGCTATACAAAAGATTTTATTGCTTTAATGGCTTCATTGGTTGCCCATTAAGACTCTCCTAAGTTTTCAACTTCGACGGAGTTGTGCTTAAGTGGTGGGGGCCCCCGAAAGGGGCGCTTTTTCGGTTTTCTGATTTACCGCGTAAAGGACTTACCCTATCGAAAAGTGGTCTTCCTGACGGTTGAAGAGCATTTAATCCTGCATTAAATAAGACTAAATTCATATGTTTTGGATAAACCGTTCTCGTGCAAATGTTCGGCAAAGTAGAAAATATGTGTATAATTAATGACCCTCTCCACGTCCAATAGCTCGTCACCCGTAGGCTCCCAAGCCTTTTAAAGGGTCGCCTTAACCAGCGTATCCCTGTCAAGGCTCACGAATTGGATTTGCTTATCCTTGTTCGTCCCAGCCGTTCCTTAACTGATTTTTGGCGACGAACCTTAGACCAGGCATAGGGCTAGGCAACGTAGTCGTGCAGGAGGATACAAGGAAGAGGGGCAGCCACAGTAGGTAACACAGAGTCGTTCAGGTGAGTGTCAGGAAGAGGTGCAGCAACCGCAGTTAAGGAACGGCTGGGACGAACAAGGATAGGCGCATCCAGCTCGTAAGCCTTTATGGGGTTACACTGATTGAGGCGCTCCTTTATAAGACTTGAAAGCCTGCGAGTAACGAGCCATTGGACGTGGAGAGGGTCATTAATTATACACATATTTTCTACTTTGCCGAACATTTGCACGAGAACGGTTTGTCCAAAACATATGAATTTAGTCTTATTTAATTCAGGATTAAATGCGCTTCAACCGTCAGCAAGACCACTTTTCGATAGGGTAAGTCCTTTACGCGGTATAACCAGAAAACCGAAAAAGCGCCCCTTTCGGGGGCCCCACCACTTAAGCACAACTCCGTCGAAGTCGAAAATCTAGGAGAGTCTTAATAGGTAACCAATGAAGACATTAAAGCAATAAAATCTTTTGTAGGAATTATTTCCGATTTAATTCATTTTTGTGTTTAATTCTACTGGCCTACTGGGGAACCGGCTTAAAACATTAATTAAGTAAAAAGGTATTGACATTTGAGATTTAAAAAACTAAAATCATCCAACTGCGGCTGGTAGTGTTTTTGTTGCCCTACACAATGAACAAAAACATAATAATCTCCTCCTCCTCTTCTTCTTCTCCTTCTCCTCTATGGCTATTGTGTTTCCACGTGTGCCTCAAAAAATATTTATTGAGCATTTCGCACGTCATTTAATATGTAAAACTCAGTGTTGCCAGAAGGTTACTTTTGTAACCTTTTAGGTTACTTTTGAACTGCATTGGTTACTTTTAGGTTACACTAATGAAAAGGTTACTTTTAGGTGATTTTTCAAAAATTGTAGAATCAACTTTAACCTGTAAAGGTTATTCAGTAAAAAATATTAATAGTGACAATTTAAAAATTATGTCATAAACTGCACTTAAACATGAATTTGATTTATTTTATGAAACGTTTTTATACGACTGGTCACTTTTCGGTCTTCATGGAATGGTCAAAATTTCGAATTTAGGTAAACGATTGATGATCAATTGTATTCATTTTCCATCCATGAACAACCTTACACAATCGCCCCGCCCCCCCCCCCCCCCTCCCCCGTATGAAGGTTACTTTTTATTCAAAAAGGTTACTTTTTTATATTTCTGGTAATTTCTGACAAGACCCGACTGGCAACACTGGTAAAACTACAAAGCGGAACCGTACACTGTAGGTGTGGCATCTCTCTTTGTTACTCTTGATCTTTATACATTAAACAACTTGAACAACTCTTTTTAGGGTACCGTAGCCAAATGGCAAAAAACGGAACCCTTATAGATTCGTCATGTCTGTCTGTCCGTCTGTCCGTCCGTATGTCACAGCCATTTTTTCCGAAACTGTAAGAGCTATACCAAAGAGCATAAAAAGAGTAAGCTATACTGTTGAAACTTGGTAGGTAGATGTATTCTGTTAACCGCATTAAGATTTTGTTTGATGCAAAAATAAAAAAATAATAATAAATATTGGGGGCTCCCCATACTCAGAACTGAAACTCAAATTTTTTTTTTCATCAAACACATACGTGTGGGGTATTTATGGATAGGTCTTCAAAAATGATATCGAGGTTTCTAAAATATTTTTTTTCAAAACCGAATAGTTTGCGTGACTGACGCTTCCAAAGTGGAAAAAAGTTGGTCTCCCTCTAACTTCTAAAATAAGAAAATGAAAAATCTAAAAAAAAACATAATGATGTACATTACTATAAAAACTACCAACGAAAATTGTTTTGAACGAGATCTAGTAAGTAGTTTTTTTTTAATACCTCGTAAATCGTAAAACGCTTATTACCGCGTATATAATCTTTCATAAAAATAATTTAAATAAAAAAAAAATCATAAATCAATGGTACGGAATCCTTTGTGCGTGATCTGACACGCACTTGTTTTAAACCTTAATGTGTGCATCCGATCACAAAAAGATACCAACATTCAGAAATGAACGCAAAATATTTTGACAGCTTCGTTCTGAAATAACAAAAAACAAGAAAACTTGAATGATTATTGATCGTGTTCGTGGGTGTAGTTCTAAATCAACTAAAAATAACTTACAGTTTTGCAAAAATCCGAATGAATTTTTCATTAACATAATCAATATAAATACTCACATCTAGTGCGGCGCCGGATATGACTAAAGTCCAATAGCACTGCAGTTCCGCTCGCACAGGCAACAATTGCCGCCGAACTGTCAATCGTAGAAAACATGTCGTGAAAACATTCGATCCGACTTGTCGTTTTCTTTTTGGATTATTAAATCTTGTGAAAATGGCAACAGTGTGTAATGTGTTACGGACTTGTGGCTTAACATTTTGTTTTGTGCTGTGCGCGTTCGCTGTGCCTGAAACGAACTTAGAACCGTGGATATCTTCGATTGAAATAGCTACGAAAAAATGTTCGCAAAATAATTGTAAATATTTACTAAATGTGCGCGGTGGTGAGTTTCTCGGGCATTATTCTTGGAGATTAACCCCTAGCAGTGGTTCTAGGGGTGATAATTGTGATACAATATTCCCCAATTACGAATTAAAAGAAATTCAAACGTCGCAATGGTTTACTAAAGTTGAGGTGACCGTGCCTTCTTCTGATGGTAGGATTTACTTCTGTCTGCATCATAGAAGAGAGAAGAACAACCCTTTCGGTGGAAAATGGGTTCACCAAGGCGAGAAGCTGTATTTGGATCCGAAATCCGATGACATTTCATCACCAATGCAGGAAAAAATGTAAGTGTTGAATATTAATAATCAATAAATAAGACAATACTCTCATTATAGGAAATTACACATGGAAAATTGTTAAAGATTATAAAGCAATTGGTATTCAGTAGGCTTAACAGGTTTTTAGGTCCAATTTAATTTAATTTTTTAGACTTCCTTTGTGTTTGCTATTAAATGAAAATTTTAAATTAATTTTTTTTATTAGTTTATATTATTGACAATTTGCAACGTTATTGAAATAGTGTACAATACAAAGTGCACATTCTGCATCAGATTCACCTACTACTGAAATTAAAAATTATACATCTTCACTTACACTTCATCAAATATTTAGTTCCTTTAAACCTTGATGCAGATTTCAGCACTATTACGCTACACGCACGCAGAATGGAAAAACATGTAGAAAATTAAAATAGTAAGACACGGTCTTAACGCGACATTTATTAATGAGTTACATTATGTACTCACGGCTTGACAAACGTCGCATTAAGACCCGTGTCTTACTATTTTAATTTAAATAGAACGCAAAAGTTAAAATCTTACATGTAGAAAATGAAATGCGGACAAACAGATATAGGCACTAGAGTTATTTAATAATATTGTAAACATTACAGCAGTCTTGAACATATCACATACCTAAACATAGTAATTGTATTACGCTCGAGCGAACAAATAATTAAATGGTGTGCGACTTTCTAAAACCTGTTAACAATTGAATATTTTCAGTGCGTACAGCAAAATCAAATCGTCTTCCCTTTCAAATATTAATGAAATTCTATTGTAATACAGAATTTTTCTTTGTGACTCACACTTTCTTACCATGGTTTCTTCTTCTTATTTTGTTTATTATCCAATAAACAAAATAAGAAAAGTCATGGGTTTAATTACCACCAGAGGCAGTAATTTTTTTTTCCTCAAATGTTTTTCTTTTAAACTCACTGCCAAACGAATTTTCCTATACATATAACCCAAAGGTTACCTGGCAGAGAATGCCCAATGACATTAAGTTCGCCTTATGTACCAACTATATGGCATGAAAGAATAAATAAATAATTAGTAAGTAATGCAAGTCATTGTAACATTCAATACATAATTTCAATGTTATCAAATGGCCTAGGATAAGGTATAACATGTCTTTGTTACAATTGGAATTTAAGTTTTGTTGCCAACTTTATGGCCACTTTGGGTGTCACAAGCTATTTGATGCTGACTGTACCATGACCATGACCAACACTATCTCCGAATCTGGCATTCACTCTATTATCAGCTAGATAAGCAAACCATTATAATGGAGAGGCTTATCTTCAGGATATTGCATTACCATGGTTTTGTTGATTATAAAAAAGTGGCACCAAATGGTTAGTGGAATATTACACTCGGCGCTGGCTAGCCAGTTCATTTGCTTGAACTTGGCTTGACACGCTGCCGCGTGTCTAGATTTTAAGCTTGTACAGCGTCACATTCACCTTGGGTTTGCCGACGATATTGTGGTCATGGCAGAATCGAGTTTCCCAACAGGTAGGCCTGCGAATGAACATGGACAAAACGAAGCTTGTCGAATATCCACGTTGCGCCTTACCCAGTTTCGGTTGGGAGCTCAATTCTAGATTTTTGACAAGTATGTCTACCTCTATGTATTGCACGGATGAACCAGGATCGCTGGGCCAGAAAGACCCTGGAGTGGAGACCCCGCAACAACACCCGCGGCAGGGGAAGACCGCCTAAACGATGGACAGACGATATCCGGCAGCAGGCTGGAGTGAACTGGATGCGTGTGGCCAGGGACAGAAAACGGTGGAGGGTTGAAGAGGAGGCCTATGTTCGAAGGCGAACCCAAAGGCTGACATAGATAGATAGATAGATAGATGTCTACCTCGGACAAACGATTCAGCTAGATAGGTCCAATTTCGAGAAAGAGGTCAATCTTCAAATCCAACTCGGCTGGACAGCGTTCGGGAAACTACGCAACATCTTTTCGTCCAAAATACCTTTGTGCCTGAAGACGAAAGTCTACAACCAATGTGTATTACCAGTGATGACTTATGGTTCGGAAATGTGGCTTCTCACTACAGGCCTTATACAGAAGCTCAAAGTTGCACAGCGTACTATGGAGAGGGCTATGCTCGGAGTTTCTTTACGAGATCGAATCAGAAATGAGGATATCTGTAAACGAATTAAAGTCGCTGACATAGCCCGACAGATTAGCAAGCTGAAGTGGCAATGGGCAGGGCACATACGCAGAACTGACGGCCGATGGGGCAGCAAGGTTCTGGAGTGGAGGCCGCGTACCGGAAAACGCAGCGTGGGAAGTCCACCAACAAGGTGGACCGACGATAAACGACGGTAGTCATAAAGGTAACAAGAAGGCGCTGGACGTAGGCCGCTGACATGGAAATCATTGGGGGTGGCCTATGTTCAGCAGTGGACGTCCTGTGGCTGAAATGATGATGATCATGACAATCAGCGTCAAATAATTAAGATACCCTAAGTAGCCAAAAAGTTCGCAACAACGTCTTATATGGTTGTGTTATATTAACTTTATAGCCACTTTGGACGTGACGATCTATTTGACGCTGTACCAGCAAAACCTTTTTCATATTTAATAAGAAATATATTTTTCCTTGAGACGCCCGCCAGTCATCTAAAAATAAAAAGGACACCCTTGAAAGGCATAAATATCGCGTTTGATTTTGAGACTTAATACGAGCCAATTAGCGTCGAAATACGATGCCGCCACCCACTGCCTTTTAAGGGAGAAGGTGACCCGAGTCCTTGTATACCTGGAATCAAACTACGCAGTAGTCGCGATACGCCTCCCACAGTTTTAGGGTTACCAAGATTTCGGTTTTCGGGATAGAGCACCTTCTTTATTGTCCCAAAAATAAGCATTTAAACCTAGGCGCAGACCACCGACTTTAAGCTGGCCGATAGTTGGGCCCGAATTTAATTTGTATGAAGAATCGGCCGATACCAAATCGGTCTAATGTGCGCACTTTCATATGACTCCATACTGAATTACTGATTAACAGCCCGACTCAACTATCGGCCAACTAAAAGTCGGTGGTCTGCGCCTAAATGAGGCTTTCGATTTACACTGAGCGAGCATCTTATTGGCATGGAAACTATGCGCCAAGTTTAATCGTTAAAACCTCCGTATTTTCTCTAAATCGCTTTTAATGGGATAACGGAAGGTCCATGTTTGGATGCACTCCTTTAACATCATCAACTTCGTCCCTCTAATTTACAAAAGAGGCAAAAATGGAATATTTGGCCTACACTCCCGATGCCTGGCCAGACGGGTTGACTAGGCTTGAAGTTCGCATATTTCTGCCTAGTTGCCTCTTACGACATCCACGGAAAGATTGTAGCCTTATTGTACTCACAGACATTCCACTATCGTTATGTGCATGTACACGTACACACACAACTAAAGCTCACTCGCCTTCGTGAGTTGCAAGAAATAATACGCGATTTTTTTAGCCGTTGCTGAAATATTTTCTTCTACTATCAAGGTGTGTCCTGTTTTTATCCCAGAATTTTCTCACCCAAATCTGGTCGCCCTACACCTTTTACGTAGGATTCGTATTATTATTGACACTCAATAACTAACAAGCTGCTACATATCTATCTAAATACAGACAGTAATTGCGAGTTTTCATATAACTTAGGGCTTGTTCCCATGGAGACGTCTGCAAGAAAGGATTTTTTTCCTGGCGGCTTGGTGACTGGGATTGAACCGCCACCGGTGCAGACGGAGAAGATGGTGGATTGTCTGCACGTGGAAAAGAGGTTGTCCGGCTTGCAGAAATTTATATAAGTACCGTTCCTTGTGTGAAATTAAAAAATTTAAATAAAACAGCTCCCTCTCAATTGACACAATTTATTTTTGTCTTGTAAGCTTGAATACAGTTGACAATTACGATATTATAACTACTGTAATAGATAGTGCCAATCTCAAGGGATTCAGGGTCGTTAATTAGGTTCGGTTTGGTGAATATTACTGCCACTACAAATTTCTTAAAACTCAGCCTAAATATTTAAAGACTCTAATAGTTAAGATAACTGCGCGATGTCAGGTCGGAAAGACTCCTACTTGAAGGATGGAAAAGTGGGTACCTTGGAAGCCATGCGGTTATAAGCCGTTACCCTGAACGTTCCTCTCTTCTTCCGGGGTCCAACGGGTCTCGCACACTTTTAGGTTACAAGCAGCGTCCTCCACGGCCTCAAGCGCGCAGTGCCAGATGAAGCTCTTGCATCTCTTTGACAGGTAAGCGTTCAAACTCTTGCAGAGACAGAGGTTTGATGACAAGGAGGAAATGCGAAGAGATCAGCAGTTCAAATCTATGAAATGTTTGAACTATAAGATATTGTGAAATATGAAATTTATGAAATATAAAATTTGAAATCCCGCATCTGAAACGAAAAATACACTGTCAGCATCACATGTGGAACGTGGCATTAGGTTATGAAAAACCCCATTGCGGAAAGAAATACTTACGAAGGCTGTTCACTAATTTGAGCTTCGCTCGCAGCCCTCAGCAACCCAATACCCTCATCCGAACAGAATTTAGGGAATTTCTGGAAGAAACCATCACATAAAATACCACGTACTGGAATACGAAAAATATCAATCACGAAAAATAAATAAATTCTCCGACGGGAACTTACCTCATGTGTGATTATTTTAAATTATATTATGAAATTATCGTGGATGCATTCTGCAACACACGATTTAAAACACAGGGGATTACATCCCCGAAAATAATAAAATTGCGGTTGCGCACGATCGACAAATTCCTAAGTGATTTGACAGCTCCACTGACAGCCGCTCTGTCATAGACATCGCGATACGTTTCGTTTCGCCGTTTGAAAAAGTAGGTAAATACTGTACTAATTAAACCATGATGAAAACAATCTCCTGAACACTGAAAATATTCTATTAAAAAATAGAATAATCAAAACAAAAACATTAGGAAATGTTTCAATAAAATATATTTGAATTGACT